GCGGCCGCCCCCCCCGGCGGGCGGGTTCCCCCACCGCCCGGCCCCGAGTCTCGGCCTGCGACGCCAGGGGCTTGCGGGGAGCCAACAGGACAGACCCGTCCCGGGTCGAGGGCTCGCCCGGCCGGGCCGCTCCGCTCCGGCTGAAGGGGGGAGCACAGCATCTACCCCGCGGCACAGCCGCCGCTCCCCGGCACCGCAGGGCTCCTCGCAGCCCTCCTTCGCCGACTAACGCAGGGATCCGGTTAGAAGAGGGGGGGGGGGAATCCATTTTACACAGATCAGGTGAAGTGACATGCCCCGACCCACGGAGCGAGTCAGTCGCAGAGAGGGGCTGACCCCAATTGCTAGACCTCCTAGACCCCGAAACGCCGTGACAAGCAACTCGGAGCAGATTTTGGGAGTTCTTCCCCCCCACCTGAAACAAGACACGGGTGAGCACAGTATAAAGGGTCAATAATATGTCGCATCCCCAATTCCCAGCTTCCCCATAGCCTGGACGACCAGTCTGGTTTGAGTTTGCTATGTTTCGGTTGCTCTGTGCTTTGGAAGAGACCGAGTTTTTCCATGGCATGGGGAGGGTCGCATTCCCATGGCTGCTGTCCTAGCTTGCACTGACCTGTCCAGCAGAAGGAGCCGGACCGTGCGTTGTGTCCCCCTGCTAAGGGAAGCTCCTGGGGAGTCACTCTGTCCTTTCGATGACACGGAAAAGCAACAGCAGCACCCAGCCACCAGTGCTGGAACAGTAAGTTACATGTTGTTCTCAACCACTTCTGCCGATGCTTTTCTACAGGACTTTAAGCTTACCATGCTGTCCCATTTTGACCTTTTTAAAAGGCCATTCAAGAAGCTATCCAACCAGCACGGGAGGTTTCACACGTACGTACGCATCCACATCTGTAATATCTAAACCAGCACAGGGTCTCTGTACGTTGGAGCCGGGTAATGCTTGCTGAACCATTGAGCGCGGCCAGGGAGAACGGCCCGGGGCCGCCAGGGCTTCCGAGCTCCCCGTAGCCCCTTTCGCCCCTCCGTTGGCAGCACCGCCGCAGGCATCCTGCCGCCCAGCCCCCGTGGCAGGACCAGAGCCCCCCCCACCCCCGCTGCCGCCGCCCTCGGGCTGGGCTGGGCGAGGTACCACCGGGGATGCGGCTGGAGGCACGAACGCCCGCCGGGCAGACGCACCTTTTGCGCCGGCTGCTGCAGCCCGGTACCCCGGGAACAGCGGGCTGAGGCGAGCTCGCCGGCTCTTCGCGCCCAGCTGCCCACCGCGGCACCGCCGGGCAGAGAAGGCCGGAGACACCCCCCTCCCGACGGCTCCGGGGGCGCAAAGCGGCTCGGGCCCCGCCGCCATCGTCCCCCGTCCCCGCCCCGTGCGTCACCTCCCGCCGCCGCACGGCTTCCGGGCTGCGCGCGCAGGGGCATGTCCACCGGAAGCGGAAGTCCCTTCAGTCGTTGCCGTTCGGGGTGTACGGGCTGCGGCGGAGACGGCGAGGCGGGGCAGGCTCCGCCGCCCTTTTCGGCCCCGGTTGTCTTCTCCTCGGCGGGGCCTTCCCCCTCGCCTCCGCCATGCACCCCGTTTTCCAGAGCAGCCGGCGCGACTTCACTTTCGGGCCGTGGAAGCTGAGCGCCGCCCGGACGCACATTATGAAGTCGGCGCAGGCCGAGAGGTGGGGCGGGCTTGGGGACGGACCGGGGCGGGGGGGGACGGACACGGACACGGGACCTGCCAGGGCGCGGGGAGGAGCCCCCGCGGGGCTGGGACCTCACTCCCTCACAGCGAGGGGTTTGGGGGCCCTTTGTCGCCTTGCGCAAGAAATAAATGACGTTCCCTGGGCGGGGGAGACGCAGTTTAGTCCAGTAGCTCGGGAGGGTTTTCTTCCCCCTCTTTCTGCGAGGGTGAGCTTGATTCTTTGGCTTGAGAAACTGGGACGATTTGGGTTTCAGGTGGTTTCCAGAACTTCGTTTTTAATCATTGCTAATGGTTTTGGAGATCTAGACCTCTGTGAACTGAAGCCTGCTAATTAGAAGCCTGTTTTTCTTAATTACTTTCTAATGGTGATTAAGGTTCTTTTAAATGTGGTCCACAGACTCGCATAAGCTATTTCATGGTAACGGCTATTTTAAGATAGTGGTTTTCATTAAAAATTTATTATTTGCTCTCTCCTTGTGGTAGTAATTTCCACTGCTGTCAAACTGTTGGAGAAAATGCTCCTCTGTCAGCATCAAGTTCTTAAGTCAGGTTTACTAATGTGGAACTGAACAGTTCAGCTGTGTAGTGCTATAGCTGACCTTGGTGGCAGTTGAATTTCACGGGTGCTTCTTGGTTTCAGTATCTGGAATACATACATGGAAATCTTGTTAGTCTTGTTAAATGTATCTTTGTTCATATTGCCTTTAGCTTTTTGGAGACTAATTTGTTTGATAAAGTCCCAAGTCTTGAAATGTTATGCTTTTTTTCTTAATTATAGTAAACTATGTAAACGTTAGGTTTTGTAACGTAACAGCTTAATACCGCTTGTTTTTTTTAAAACTGGATATCTGCCTTAAAACAGGTAAAAACTATGTTCCTTTCTCCATCTTTATCCTATGTTCAGTGCCTAAAATAGTCCTCTCAAACTGCTTCTGACTAATGGTCCTTTAGTTTTTTGCAGTTACAGGTAAGAAAATTTGAATCCTGTGACTTAGTAATTTTTCTGTAATGAGGATATGAGGATTCAACATCCAGCTAAGCTGTACCTGTGTCCTGCAGGGGAAGGAGGACTATTACTAGAGTATCCCATTTTTACGGCACGTTTGTGAAGACTTATTTTGTAGGATGCTACCTCCTAAAAATTAAGATCTTTATTCTTAAGATCAGGAGTATGTTAACTCTCTTCACTGTGAACAAGAGAGAGACTTGAACTGCCAGTCTGGAAGCCAGATTGCCTGCTGTACTCGTCTTCTGATCTATTCAGTTTCTTTAACTGTAGCTATTTTAAAATAAACAGTCACCTCTGTAATTTTCAGAAATTACTTTTATCTGTTTAGATGTCTTTGAGGGACACACAGTTTTTCAGAATGTGTTGAAAAAGGCTGAAAAGTAAAGCTGCAAGAGCCACAACACAAGCTTGACAGAACATAGAAGATTTTGCAGGGTAGGGAGAAGTCCAAAATTAGCTGTTTACCTGTAGGTCTTGGTACCTAGCATGAGATCTGCGAAACAGTTCCTCTACTTGAAGAGTCAAGAACTATGCAGTGCTTTTAGTCAGCATCCTTTTATAATGTATTTCACATGGCATTTTGTTTTTATTGCTTATTGTCCTCCTCAGAGGGAGGACTCCTCACACTCTTCCCCTGCTCCAGCGTGGTGTCCCTCCCACGGGAGACAGTCCTCCATGAACTCCAACGCAAGTCCTTCCCATGGGCTGCAGTCCTTCACGAACTTCTCCAGCCTGGGTCCCTTCCACAGCATGCAGTGCTTCAGTCACAGACTGCACCAGCCTGGGCTTCCCACAGGGTCACAGTCTCCTTTGGGCACATCCACCTGCTCCAGCGTGGGGTCCTCCCTGGGCTGCAGGTGGATATCTGCTCCACCATGGACCTCCCTGGGCTGCAGGGGGACAGCCTGCCTCACCATGGTCTTCCCCCCAGGCTGCAGGGGAATCTCTGCTCCGGTGCCTGGAGCACCTCCTGCCCCTCCTTCTTCACTGACCTTGGTGCCTGCAGGATTGTTTCTCTTGCATATTCTCGCTCCTCTCTGTGGCTGCTGTTTCTGTTGCACAGCAACTTTTCACCCGTCTTAAATCTGTTATCCCAGAGGCACTGCCACCATTGCTGATGGACTTGGCCTTGGCCAGCAGTGGGTCCATCTTGGAGCCGGCTGGCACTGGCTTTGTCAGACATGGAGGAAGCTTCTAGCAGCTTCTCACCGAAGCCACCCCTATAGCTCCCCCACTACCACAACCTTGCCGCGCAAACCCAATAGGATGGTTTGAGATTTTCTGCGGGGATCATGCTTATTTGGTTCATGCAGTACTTTGTTCAGTTAGGTCTGTGGCTATGGCTGTGGCTTTCATGCTTAAGGTTACAAATACCAGTATGTATTCTCTGCCAGCTTGGGAAAGTAGTAGAGCACAAGCAGTGTCTTCTGCACTTTTCACTTACTCTGCCAGGGTTGTTTTTAGCCCCTTTTTGTAGGCTTCTAAATTTGGAGGTATGGACTACTGTCTAGTGAATTTAAACTTGCTGACAATGAGTGCTTGTTCCTAAAACTTTTCAGCCACCTGCCAAAGTAGTTCACGGATCATCCAGGAATTTGCTACAACAGGTTGAAATCTGCTGCTTCGTGCATATCAGATTTTTTTTGCTTCCTCATGTATGAGACTTTCGTATGAGCCTGATGGAGAAGGAATGTTTTAGGAATACTTATGTGGTGGAAAAGTAACTTTAGATCAATCACTCTGCAATTCATGTCGAATGATTAAACTGGGAAAACAACAAAGTTTTGCAGAACATACTGATAATGTGTCTTGTAAAATACCATTGTCTAAAGAATACTTATTCCAAAACAAGGACTGCTTTCACTGAACTATAGCTGACTGATCTCTCTTCATGGGACTTTTATTTTTCTGTGCAGATTGGCCGATGAATTACACATGCCTTCCCTGCCAGAGATGATGTTTGGTGACAATATCCTCAGAATACAGCATGATCGTGGTTTTGGAATTGAGTTCAATGCAACAGATGCTTTAAAATGTGTCAATAATTGTCAAGGTATGATCAAAGTGGCTTGTGCAGAGGAGTGGCAAGAGAGCAGGTACAGTATTTTATCACCAGTGGGCAAGTATTGGTGTGTTGTATGTGAAACTGTCATAAAGTAGTTAAAAGAACAGACTGAACTCTTGAAGACCATGTTGCATTTGGTTCTACCATAGAAACAACATGTGATCACAGAAATCACTTAGCTTTTCTTTGCCATGATCATCCTATCTGTGAAATTGGGCCAACTGCATTTTTCAGACATGTCTTGGCTTTCTTAATATAAACTACAAGTTTAACATGGCTTAATGCTCTTTCTGTTTATTCAAACTCGAGCATTACAAGATTGTATTGTGTGGTGTTGCAAAGTGCAAAATGCTGTACGTGTTCAAAATCTTAGCTTTAGGAATATAGCAGAACCATTACCATGCATGAGAACTAATTGTACTGTATTTACAAGTATTTACCAAATTAGTTGCAGAGCACCTAGAAATAAAGCACAGAGAGAAATCAAAGCTGTTATGAAAACTAAGGCAAATAGCAGTGTTAATGATTGCTGTGTGTTATCAGCAGATTGCTTTCTGCCTACTTAAAGAAAAAATGATATTGAAATAGAAATTTTTCAACAACATTGAACTAAAATCTTTATTTTGACTCATAGGACTGAGATAGTGTTAGCACAGGAATCCTGGTAACGGTTTTCTAATTTATTATGGAAACATGCTATGAAAGAAGCAGTACTATATGATGAAGTCTTGACATCGTCATTGCAGCACAGACAATGCTGCTGTTTTTCTTGAAGAGTGTGGGAATTGTAATACATAATCTTATGTGCGGTTGTAATTTTTTAAGAATTACTACAAAGTACGCTGTTTTCTCTTTCACTTCTGAGGAGTGAGACTGAGCACACTAAGGAAGTTGTCAAGCCATACGATTGGACTTACACAACAGACTACAAAGGAACATTGCTGGGAGATACTGCAAGGTTAAAGGTAACCATTTTCTCCTTGTTAAATGCTGATTGTATATTGTTTCAGTCAAACAAACACTTTTTTTTCTTTAAAGCTGTCATTTACCTTTCAATAGCCTTCTGTAAAATCTTTCATGTTTCACAGTTTCTGACTTCAAAGTACAGTTTGGGCTTTTCATGTCTCTCAGCATGTTATTCTAGTCAAATCATGGCTTATTTTAATAACTGGGTGATGTTTTTTAAAGCATTTTAGGATTATATAAAAAGGTGCCATTGTGTCCCTTAGTGAGGACTTACTCAGAGAGTAAAGCACATGGGATCTTCAGCGCTTGCTGGATGCCCCTCTGAAGCCCTGAGCTCCTCGCACACAACAGAACTATCAGCTGTGAAATTCTTTAGTACCTTTACTCTGTGTTGCTTGCCTGTTTGTCTAAGCAGATGTGTAGATCTGGCTGCCTTCAATGGCTTTGTTTTTCTGCAACAGTAACTCCTTATATTTAAACTCACAGGCCCTCCCTTGTCTTTATTTTAAAATAAGACTGAAGTTCCCAGCTTCTCTTTACTCTATACAGATTGCTTGCTACTAAGCAGATAACCCATATTAATTTACTAGGGTTGCGTTAGTTATAGGTCACTTGAGTTATTCTGGAATTGAAAGTGTGGTATAGAAATAAATGATGTCTTGTTGGCCTGTAGTCTTTAGGCAGCGGAAGTGTATGAGTGTATATGGAGACCATGAGATGGAAAACATATAGGTACTTGATTTCCATGGAAAGGCTTTATTAGAATCCTCTTCAGGGTTTGTAGTGTGGTAGAGATACTAAATGCATGGAATCCTGTTTATAACCCAGAACTTCTCATTTGTATGTTAAACATTAGGCATCTTCAAATGTTTTGAAATACAGAAAGTGAGCAGAATTGTTTGCAGCTGAAACCCTACTGAGCCTGTGCCCAGAGGGAAGTTTATTAAGAATTTTCCACTCTTGGTTTTTGCTTTGATTGATGTTTCCTCTTGGAAACTTTGGTTTTAATTTTAACTTTTTCTCTTAGAAATCTGGGATGTTTTAAGTTTAGTGCTCTAAAAGCTTTTTCCTTTCTAAAATGAGCAATTGTGGTATTTAAAAGGTCAGGGCAAACTTTATGTAGTTTGGCAACAAATTAATAGGCTAACTGTTCTTAATCTTTTTCTTTAGGTTGTTCCTACAACAGAACACATAAATACAGAGAAATTGAAAGCTAGGGAACAAATTATGTTTTTTGAAGAAGTACTTCTGTTTGAAGACGAACTTCATGATCATGGAGTATCAAGTTTGAGTGTAAAAATAGTGAGTAGTGAGAGGTGTATACAAGATGCTTGGTGACTCAGTTGGCTAATACATGCAAAATGCAGTCACTTTTTGCTTGTTGTTCCTTCTGGGATTTAAGTTTAAAATGCAAAGTTCTTTATCCTCGCTTTTAGAAATATAGTCTTACTGGAAACTATGTTGTCTAGAAGTCTTTCTGTCAGTTGCTTCAGGGAACAATCTTTTCTCTCTTTCTGCATCCTGCTTAGGAATCTTCTGAGACACTGTCTGCCCTGCTGTCCAATGATAGCTGTAGCATATCAACAGCCCAAATTTTGACTTTACTACTGAAAGCTCCTCATACTATCTTTCATTGTGAATATCTGATGCAGATAAGTGCATACTTGAAGTAAAACTTTGTAATATGCTGAATGGAACATCTTTATTTTTGCAGAGAGTTATGCCTTCCAGCTTTTTTGTGCTGTTGAGGTTTTTCTTGCGAGTTGATGGGGTACTTATCAGGATGAATGATACAAGGCTTCATCATGAGGTAAACCCTTACTTGCTATCATGAATATTTTACAGATGCTCCTTTGCCATGTTACTTTCAGAGAAGACCTGCTGATACTCCTGTAATTTAATTCTGATGTTTGGGGGCATAGAGGATACCTGAGCTGAACTTTGAAGTGTGTTTTATTGTTGTGGTGCTCAAGTAGCAACCAAGTGCTGGATACCATGGGGCTAGGTACTGTATGAGAGCAGAGTAGGCTACCCCTCATGTGATGTAATAATTTAAATACATTTGACAGAGGCTGATTAGATGAAGTACAAGAGGAAAAATGGGCAACAGTAAATGGTGTGATACTGTTCTTACCCTCGTCTCCAAGTAAATGTTATTTGGCTTGTCTAATACATGACTGCAAGTTTTAACTTGCAAATAAGTGTCCATACTACATTGAGTTCTAGTATCTCATAAATAATACAGAACTTAACAGTGGTGGTTTGTTTATTTTGTCCAGCTGTATTCATACTGATGTAGGAGTTGTAGCTGAGTAAAGATGAACAAGCATAGTCAGTCGTAGATTATTTTTTTTTCATGCATGCACGCAGAAAGGTGATGTTTGGGAAAGAAAACATTGCTGAACATCTTTCTCTGTCTTCGTGAATTTGAACATATGTTTCTGCTCTCAGGTGAAAATCTGTGGTCAACCAAATTCAGATGCTTACTAAATTCAATGTATTTAAAATGCTCATTTTGCACTAATACTAGATGATAATTTTGTAATTAATTTTTGCCATTTTTTTTTCCCATTAGGCTGACAAGGCCTACATGTTGCGAGAATATACATCCAGAGAAAGCAAAATATCAAGTTTAAAGGTATTGCATTTTTTTAAATGTTTTTTGGTTTTTTTTCTGTCTACTTTTGAAATTTGTTTTATGGTCAGCGTAGAAGATACTGTGTCTGTAAGTCATTTTTTGTTAGGTTTGGAATTGATACAGAGGAAAAACCTTATGCTTATACAACATTTATTTTGGTGATTTCAGAGCAGATTTGCATTTGTAAGTGCTCAGATCACATGACAAGATACAGGATTGGGTTACTTTTTCTACTTTTGCATTAACAAGATTTAAAAATTATTTTTCATAGAACTGTTCAGCCACAAAATCAGGTAGTCCATGTCCCATGATGCTAAATTCAGGGCTGGTTGTATGTTTGCAAGTAGTATTAGGGGTTAAGATCTGTTTGGTAATAGACGCATTCAGTTTTTCTCCAGTAAGTTTAACAGCCCACCTTAAAACTCCAGTAACGGCTCAGAATATTTTGTGGCACGTTTGGAGTTGCAGCTGTTGATTTTTATTCTTGACCCAACACCTGATCTTGGGTATTCTTGTTACTTTCCTTCCCCCTTGTTTTTCCTTCACTGGTAAAAAATGGCTAACGTGTTACTAACCTTCTGAGGGTCTGAGCATTTTGGCAAAATGCTTTTCGTTTTGAGGAAAGGGGCACTGTATCATTTCTTACAACATGTGATCCCTATAAACAGGACTAAATCCAGACATGAGTTTTTTTGATAGTTTTGTGGGTTTTGAAATATAAATCAGTGATGTAGGTTTTACTTCATCTCATGTTTAAAAATTATCATCTATGTTAAATAATTTTTACTGCCTGTTGTTATAGAGAGGAAATGCATATGGCTTTTCAGTTCCCTAGATCAGCTTGCACAGGTAAAGCAAAAAAAATTCCTGCTTCACTTAGGTTTGAAATAATTGGAACAGCAGTATGATTCCTTGCGTGTTAGGGGTAGCCAAAATACAGGTTGCATTTGAATGGCCCTGGATACATTTCTTAAAGAATGTTAGAAAGTTCAAAGGTGGTTTGCTCAGTATACGTTTGTTTTTTTTCATCAAATGTCTTGTATGTGATGACATTAAGTTGTCTACAGGAATGTCCGGAGAAAGATATTGATTAACGTAATGAAACCACCTAATTTTTAGTGGGCATGGTTGATGTTTGGACTCGATGATCTTGAAGGTCTTTTCCAACCTAAATGATTCTATGATTTCTTCAAATATGAAATTAAAATCCAGGGAGTTTTCGTATTTCACGCAAATGTCTGTGGTAGACTTCATAAAACTAAGATACATGTTGAGGTGTATCAATTATCAATACCTAAATCTGAGCAACTCCAGTGAATATATTGCAATGGCTAGAAGACATTAACCATAGGATCCCTTGTGGCCATCCTAGTCTCATCTAGAACTAGAACCTCAAAAAGACTGTTTGTTGCATTCAAATGATAAATATATTTTTTTAAAACATTGTAGCAGGTCATGAATGTCTCTGACTTTCTTGTGCTCTTGTAATGAGCTACTTAAAAACATTAAATACCTTTCCTTAGCCTATTGATCCACACAAGGAGTGAAAGACTATTTGAAGTTATAAGGTAAATTCTGATAATCATACCTGACTTCAGGTGTTTAAATCAGGTTAATTGTAGACTAATTGTCTGTAAAAGTTTGGGTTTGGAATACTTTTTTTTTCCTCCTTTCATTCACTTGTTTCATGTAAAATTTTTGCTTCTTAGCACGTTCCACCTTCCCTGTTCACGGAACCTAATGAGATCTCTCAGTATCTACCCGTAAAGGAGACAATCTGTGAAAAACTAGAATTCCCAGAGAAGCTGGAGCCAAAAGCAGAAGCATCACTGGAAACCATGTGTGTTAAGTCTAAATAAATGTGACTTTATATGGACTTGAAGTAGGCTGGAGATAATGTGATCGTGTAACCATTGCCATGGGGGGCGGTTTCACTACTAGTGGAATAAAGAATTTGGCTAATTTTTCTGTAGCCCTGAGAGAAAACATTTCAAGCAGGTTTTGCTAATGGTGTTTTTTGTTTGTTTTTTTTTTAACCTGTATCTGGAGTTAATGATAGGCCGGTCGTGAGTTATAATTTTCAATGGCATTGGAGAGAGACTCATGATTAAGAATGTGGGTTCTGTTTATTTCAGTGGTTAGGCAGTATTGTCTGGACCCTCCACCACAAACACTTCTGTGCTGCTTCAGATACCAAGAGACTACTGGAGTCATAAAATAGAAATAATTTTATTTTTATTGAGAAATCATCCACAGTAAAAAAAAAAAAAATTTCCTCTGCATTTATTTTGAGCTGTCAGACCTAAACTAAACATTTTGCTTTGCTTCCCTACTATGAGCTGATAACCAAATAAGTTACTTTTTGGAGTCTCTGATCCAGATTCTAACTTAAGAATATTCATCTCATCTGAGGATAGGTTTAAGGAAGAAAAAAAAAAATTGCATTTGTTGGACACTATATATAGAGGTAAAATTACCTTATTTGTGAGGCATTAACTCCAGAGCAGGAGAAAAGCTGGAGGTTAACACACTGGTAAGTCTCTTCACAGATACTAGTTTAATCTGATGTTAGCCAGATTTCTCTAGGCAGTTCTGGAGACTGTTACTTGGGGTTGGTATGCTGCTACAGTCACGTACTATATTGGAAACGCATTGTACTGTATTGACCTTCTGTTAGATGTATTGGATGGTGCCCATGTATGATGGTTATACTGCCCTGACAGTCAAATTGCTAAATTGCAGAGTGGCTTAAGGCTGGGGAAGAGAGGGGTGTTTAGTCTCTACTCCCTAAAGGATGCTGGTATTTGCAGTTTGAGAAACAAGATCCTATATAGCCTTAAAAGGATGCTAACATGTATTCCAGATACATAATTTTGGTTTATTTTTAAAATTCTTGAAGTTCTGATAATAATAGAAATGTGATCACATGTATAGTCATGGTTTTAACTCAACACTTTGTGGATTAAACTTCAAATATTTGTATTGCTTTTGGAAATCCTAAATTATGTTAATGGTTTGGCCTAAGAATGGGGGAGCTAAACAGACTTGGCTAGGTTTACTGCTCACACTCAAGTGCAAGAAGCGAATGACTGTAGCAAAAAGCAGGCCTTGTGGTTTAAGGTGATGGCAGATAAGAATATGTACAGATCCTGATGTCTTGGAGTTTTTGTTTAAAAATCTGCATATTCTACACTGCATGGCTTAATAGAAACAACCCACCTCAAAACCTGGTACTTAACCAGGTCTTTTGAGAAATGGTTTTCACTTAGAGAAGACCCTGACATTTTCAGAAAAAAGTCTACTGCCATCTAAGTGACTGTTTTTTTAAAAAACCCAAACACCACACTTTATTTCACTTTTATTTGAGGCAGCCTGGTCTAATGAATTGATCATAACGTTGAAAGGTAGGAACTAACTGCAGTTTTTCCTGTGTCACTGATTTACTCTAACCATGGGGAAGTCACCTCTCTGTGCCTCAGTTCCCTGTATGTAAGAATGAGAGTTAATACATGACTAACGCACTGAAAGTCTGCAAGGATTATTTTGTAATAAGTTATTAATTAGAATTTTTTTTTCCCTGAATACACCTTCAGCCTTATCTTTGGAATCCTTTGGAAAGGATTACTGCAAAAAATTTTATGATCCATGGGATAAAATGAGTTAAGAAATTAAACAGTCTCTTGAAAGAAATTATCAGCCAGACATGATCTGGGTGAGTGAATTTATGGCCACTTTGAAATAGAGGTGAGGTCCTCTATATTTCCCATTACAGTCCTAAATTCTGTTGGCTTTTTTTCATCTTTCTGCACTTGTTTCCTAAAGATTTTAGTGTCAGGATGAAGAAAGGGCTGCAAATGAATGCAGCACGGAAGCGATCAAAATTCATTCAGTAATAGAAGATTATTTAGGTCCACTCCAGTGGTAGAGGGATATGGGGAGAGAGTGAAAAGGAAGGGAACAACAAATGAGGGTGAAGAGATATTTTGCTGGTACAAGTAAATCATGGCACTTTTACTCTAAGCATATATTATTTTACATGCCTTAAAGGCTTATAAAAACACACTTGAAAGCTGGTAGTGACTGAGAGGAGAGCTGATGGTAGTACTAGCATGAAGGAAACTATATCTGCATTCATTAATTAAAATTATGATTTGGGTTTGGTCAGTGATGCTAATATTAAGCCTTACTAGGCTAAAGTATAGTGTTGGAGGGAGCCCGCAGAATCGACACCTAGCGTTGAAAAGGGTGCTCTGCATGTTTAGCTTATACTGTGTATTTTATCTTGTCCATCATACATACTAATTTGTGACCTGTTGATACAATTGTCTTGAATGGACTTGAATCCTGACTATATAGATATGTGATATCCATCTATTTTGGGTGCTGTGCATTTAAGTGGAACACATGTGTTGGGGCAATCACAAGAACATGTTTAGGAAGTTACAGTTACTACAAAGTAAAACTTGGAGCACTTTGTGACTCTCTTACACCACATGGATTATCAAGAAGCAGCAGTATAAGCTCAGTGGTACAACTTTTCCACAGAAAAGTACCACTTCAGATACATAATTTTACGGGGAGGGAGTGGGGTGATTCTCCAGCTGTTTTGTGGCAAGTTTAATGTGTCAGTTTATATTCTTTCTTGTATGTCGCTAAATAAAATGTACCAAACATTTTATAGTTCTGTTTTTATCTGAGCAAAATAAACTGAAATAACTACTCGTGCTGCTGAATTTTCCATGCTAGTAAGATGTTGCATCCATATGCCTTTGCCTGTCGTCAGACTGCTCTGGCTAGTGATGAAAGTAAGGTGAGACTTTTTCAGAACAGGGGAAGAGCCACAGTAGTTGAAGCAAAAAGAAATCTATATTACTATTTCTATGATCTTCACTATTGCCAAGTAATGGATTCAAAAGTGGTGGGAGGAGATAGGATACAACTAGACAAGTAAAACTGCCAGAGGGTGTGGACTCTTATTTTCTGTAGGCTGGAAAACATTAGGACAGTTTGGATGTCAGCTATCGTATGCTTGGAAGAGTAAGAAATGCCTGACTCACAGGGAAAGTGGGAGTGTTTGCTGTCTCTTAAAAAACCCAAACCAAACCTATAAATTACTGTGAGGTCCTCTGTATTTCCCATTACAGTCCTAAATTCTGTTGGCTTTTTTTCATCTTCCTGCGCTCGTTTCCTAGAGATTTTAGCGTCAGGATGAAGGGGCTGCAAATGAATGCAGCACGGAAGTCATCAAAATTCATTTGGTAACAGAGGATTATTTAAGTCCACTGCAGCGGTAGAGGGATATGGGGAAGGAATGAGAAGGAAGGGAACGACAGATGTGGGTGAAGATGGTCTCTCTGCCCCACGAACCTGGGAATCGGCGCTAGGCTGGTCTGTCTCAGTCTTACTGATTCGGAGGGTTTGCAGTGCTGGAGTTCGTGCGCCCTCCACGAGAGCTCTCACCGGGCGGCTGGCGCGTCCGTCGGGGAGCAGAGGCCCAGCTACGCCATTTCCAGGACCTTTCTCCCCTCGGCGTCCCTCACCCGACCCCCGTGGCGGCGGGGCACCGCCTCAGGAGACTGTGGCGGGCTGTGGCTCCGAGCGCAGGGCTCGCCGCCGCACGGCTGCTCGGGGCGCCTCCGGCCCCCCCCCCGCCGCCGAGCCCGGCTGCCCCGGGGGGGGGCTCACCGCCGCTTCGCCGCTCCTCAAGTCCGGGAGGCGGCCGCTCTGTCTCTCCCCTCTCGCCGCCGGGTGCCGTCCCGCCTCCCCCGCCCGGTGGACTACATCCCCCGGCAGCCCCCGCGCCGTCGCCGCCGGCCTTCATCTACCTGCCGAGCGCAGGTAGCCGCCGGCGGCGCGGTGCACGCCGGAGCTGGTAGTCCCTGAGGAGGGGAAGGGCAGTCCGGCCGTGCGTGAGGCAGAGCCGTTGGGGCGCGGGCCGAGGAGGGCGGCATGGACAAGCTCAAGCGGGTGCTGAGCGGCCGCGATGCGGAGGAGCCAAGCGGCCTGGCTGAGGTAACGCTCCGCTCCCCCCCGCACCTGCCTCCCTGCCGGAGCCGGGGCGGGGGGGCTGCGTGCCGGAGCCGGGGCGGCGGTTGCCGAGCGGCGGTAGGCGGGAGCGCAGTCGGCGGGGGGG